GAAGGAATCCACGGGCGGTGTTTCATGCTTGTAATCCCAGAGCTGGGGAAGAAAAGATGGGTGGATCCCTGGGTGATCGGTCAGCCAGCCCAGCCAAATTGGCAAACTCTAGGCCAATGAAAGATTCTGCATCAGCAACAAGGCGGGTGGCACCTGAGGACTGACACCCAAGGTTGTCCTCTGAACGCCACGTGCATCCTGCACACAGAGGTGTCCCTCAAGCGTCATTCTCTCACTTCTAACACATGCTATGTGCTCTTTTTTAAAATACAGATGCTATTGCACTCATGTAAAGACCTAACAGTCTTTCCATAGCCACAAATAACGCAAGGCAACATGAAAAGGCCTCCCATTAGTCTATAGGCACAACAGTGTTAATGGTGGATTTCTGTCTGCCCCCTACGTAGTTCCGCAGGAGGGGAGCAGAAGGAAGCAATGAGCTTGGCCTTAATTTGTAATGACATTATTAAGTCCAACTCTCAGGAGGTGAAATTGAGGCTAGGCAAGCCAGGAAGCCATCTTGAACTGACTCAGCTCTATCAAGGCTCATGCTCAGGTCAACGGGTCTATAGGCCTCTTCCTTCACCGCGATGAGGATCCACCTCCCATCAGACAATGTGGGAACACGCACCTGAGATCATGACATCCTCACCTGTTTCCGGGACAGTCAAAAGAAACTAAGCCACTTTCACTGAAAGTCAAAGTGCAGCTTGGACCCCATTTGAGAGTGAGTCTGGAGTAGCTCGCAACTGCCTCAGTTTCCCTGTGAATTAACCGTTCTTTCAAACCATCCAGATGAGGTGACGTGATTGCAAATAGCATCACGGACAATGGGGCCAATGAGTACCCAAATGTACAACAGTGCTGTATGCCAGAGTCTGCTCCACTGACTAAGAAGTATTTACAAAACTATTATTGGAGTTGTCAATCTATTTGGTGTGTGTGTGGTGTGTGTGTGAGGAGCCGCACACCCCTACCTCGTGAAGCTGCCTCCTGCCGTGCTGTCTTCTCCATGATGGACTGTCGCCCTGCAAACATAAGTCAAAATGATCCTCTCCTCCCTGAATTCACTTCTTACTGGGGATTTGGTCACAACGGCAGGAAGAGTAGCTAGTCTGTAGTCATTCTATGTACACTTGAGACACGTTGAGTCTATCACCATGAAGACCTTCCTCCAATCTCCTCAGAGCACTGAAACCCACTCAAAGCCTTTTTCCGTGGTAAACCAAAACTCTTAGTTCTGCTTTTCCCGGTATAGACTATCTGGGATTCTTAATCTCTCAAATATGCAAATTGAGACTGAGAGTCTTGTCTGTTAAATATTGATGAGACTCTGCCTTCTCTCAGGCAAAGCCTGTGCTCCTGATGCGTGAAGGGGAAGCGCAGTTCTCACAATGCGTTCTGTTCAAACTTTCCACAGCTTCCGTAGAAACGGAGCATCTAGTCCCATGTGTTTCTTTTCTCTCATTTGATGACAGAAATAAGACATAAGTAAAATGAATATTTTCCCAGTGAAGAATGATTCCTCAAGAGTAGAGAGAAATGCGAAGAATCTTGAGTTCTCTGTAAGAAATTATAGCGAAAATAATTAGCATTATAATGTGCCAGCAATTAGGAGCAGAGAAAATGTTTGAAGCCTCTAAAAGGGCCAGGTGTAGTAGTACACGTCTGTGAACTTAGCTCTCAGGAGGCAAAGGCAGACGTACCATACATTTGAGTCTAGCCTGAACTATGCGTCAAGTTCCAGGCCAGTCAGCTACATAGTGAGACACTGTTACAGAAAGAGAGAGAGAGAGAAAGAGAGAGAGAGAGAGAGAGAGAGAGGGAGGGAGGGAGGGAGGGAGAGAAGAGGGGACGGGAGGGAAAGGGAAGGCTGAGGGAAGGCAAGAATGAAAGGGAAGGGAAGAGAAAGGAAGGAAAGGAAAAGGGAGGGGAGGAGAGGGGAGAAACTCCAAACACAACTTGTGATGACTACTCTTGATTATAAACTTGGCTATATGAAATCAACTATAACCCAGAAATGAAGGGCACACTTGTAATCCAATTCTTGAGGCAAGAAGGCAACACACCTTCGATCTGCATCTTGAGGCAGGAAGACAGGGGTTCTTGATCCAGATATTGAGGAGGAACGACACATGCCTTTAATCTAGGTCTTGAGGCTGAAAGGTACACCTTTAATCTGGGCCACGCCTCCTGCTGGAGCCTATGTAAGGGCAGTGGGAGAAGGAAGGGTTTGCTCATTCTTCCCCTACTTACCCTCACCTTGTCAGCGCATCCACTCCTTCTCTGCCCTTGGAGCCTAAGTTTTCAGGATTCCAGCATTCAGAAAAATCCAGCTGAGACACCCAGCCTTGCTTGTAGGACTGAGCAGCTACTGGATTCTTGAACTACCATTCGCAGCCAGCCATTGTGGGACTGCAGCTGTAAGTCCTTCCAATAAATTCATATATATTCACCTATATTTTTTATTTTTACACACACACACACAGAGAGAGAGACATATGTATGAGAAAGAGATTGACCCCATAAGTTTTGTGACTCTAGAGAACCCTGACTAACACACGACTCTTCTCTGTCTCTGTATGACTAATTTGATGGCTGTGCACGTGAATGCCATGGGAATGATAATTATCGTGTAGATAAGCTGGTTGTAAATGTCGTGGGCACAAACTGGATTTGCTCTTCATAAGGAGGATTTGCAGGTAATTACAGTGGCTGATCAAACATCTCCGCAATAAAGAGGCAATATTTTCAGCCTGGTGCCAAGATCCGCTCACTTCCTAAAATTGGTACCGGCCACTTTAGGAGGCAAAGTCAAATGACAGTGTTGCCCATAGTGACCATGACAACAGTCACAAGCCGCTGTGCATGTGGCTTACATTAATCGCGAGTCAGAAACGTTCTTAGCCTATTGCCCACGTTAGCTAATCCATCTTAAGAGCAGTTTGGCCAGTGAAGGGCGCTACTCTGATCTGCTGCCATGCCACCTGGCCTAAGACCCCCTTCCCCTCACCAAAGATCTGCTCGTCTGGAAAGAGATGGGGCACAGAAGCAAGGGGGTTTGAAATAATAATAATAATAAGTGTAAACAGCTGGATTAATCATGAGTAATGGGGAAGGTCCCTGCATCTCCCTTCCCCTCCTTCCCTCAGGCTTCTGGCTTATTATTTCAGATGTATACATCTAGCAGTAAATACAATAACATTTTTGAAACCCCAGCTAGAAGCTACAAAAAAAATGAATTTGAGAGTTATACTTTGATTAAATAGCAAGGCGGAGATTCATGGCAAAGTGTCTAAAAGAGGGCATTGCTCTTCCTGCCGGTTCCAGATGGCTTCTTATGAGAAAATAAATTTAGACTCAGGAACAAAAGGATTTATTAGAAAACACTTGGAAACACACAGGGATTACACTGGCAGAGAAGATACTTGTCTCTACACGTGTTGATAATTCATATTCATCTAATATGCAGGTATATCTCCAAGTGGGTTGCCTGGAAGTATTTATGTTTGCATAATAATGTTTACAGAAGTGACTCCTGCTCCATCCTGTGCCCTGCTGAAGAGAAGCGGATATCTGAAAAAGGCAAGACATGAGACCCAAGGACAACAGGAAAAACGAAGGTGATATAAAAACATTGATATGCGCTATGCAGCATTCTGGAACATACACTGAGACTTGGAAATTTGTTAGCCTTTGTCCAACAATAAATTATAATTTGAACTCAGTCATTAGTAAATGGTGAAACTATACTGGCAGGGAGCTCCAAACAACACCAAATGGAAAGGGATAAGGAAGCACACTCAAAACGTAGAGACATGGTTACTGACTAAGAAAAACAGACACAGTAGGCTATGGAGATAGGATGCATGATTACACACTTGTAATCCCAGCTCTGGGGACACGGAAAGAGGCAGATCTCGGGTTCACTGGCCAACTAGCCTAGGAGTTGTTGAACTTCATGTACTTATACAACCTCCAAGAAGGTGCATGATCTTGGAGGTTGGCATTCAAGGTTGTCCTCTGGGTTCTGTATACACACACACTCACACGCATACACAGATAAGCAAGATTTCCTAGTGGCAAGGGAGTGTTTGTAACCCTCCTCCACCTGCATCTCTCCCTGTAGCTGCGAAGGAGGGGAGGAGCAGAAATAGATCAGTCTTCACAGTCTGTGTCTGTTTTCATGAGATATCTCTCCTTCCACTCCCACTCGGGAGGCTTCCGTTCTAGAGCACAAATGTCCTCTGTTGTCCAGATGTCCTTTACAGGACCACCCTATTTCTTTGAGAAGCGAATCAAATTGCACTTAAAAGAGTCCTCAGAGGGTCTGCCACCCTCTTCCTGTCCGAGCTGGGTCCCTGAGTGACTGAGAGTTTGCCAGGTTCATAGGACAATAATTCCATGTCTTCCTCTCTCACTATCTCATATCCCAAGGAACGGAACTGGAGACATCCAGTGACACACCCTTTCCCTCGACAGTAATGGTGATGATACATTCGTCATCACCAAACACGAAGGGACATCTCAGAGCTTTTGAGGAAGAAAGGAAGCAGGCCTACACTTGCTGCATCAGCATTTTGGGGTCCACACTCAGCCAATACCCTCTGTAAATGTGTTCTAACTGGTGATGCATGGCTAACTCTTCAACTCTTCAGTTGTGTTTACGGTCTTTAATTGCACATCTCCTGGTCACAGCCGATTGATTGGGAAGGGGTGGAAAGTTAGTTAAGGGAATGATTCTGAAGACTCACTATGTCTATCAGAGTCTGAAAGAGAAAAAAAGAGACAGACAGACAGACAGAGAGAGGAGAGAGAGAAAGAGAGAGAGAACAAACAGAGGCTGGAGAGTGATGAAGAGCACTTGCTGCCCTTCCAAACAACCTGGTTTCGGTTCTCAGCACCCACACAGTGACTCCCAGCATCCGTGACTACAGTTCTAAGAGGTCAGACGCTTTCTCTGACCACGGCAGACACCAAGCACACACACAGTTTATATACACACATGCAGGCAAACACCCATACACATAAAATAAGAAATAAGCGAATCTTGAGAGAGGGGGAGAGAACATTTTATACTAGGATAGAGAGAATAATTAAGTGATAAGCATATCATAATAAAGCCAGTGCATTTGACACCGTTCCCTTGGCTCCCTGGCAGGAAGTATTGCCTTTGATGATAGCTGCGGTCAGTCTGCAGCAAGCCAGCACAGGACAGACTGGGATAATATGTAATCCAATCTTGTTCTTTTCCATCCTCTCAGCTCCTCCTGAAGTCTCTCATTAGCCAAGCTGAACAAGAAGACAGTGCCCAGGAGCCACCGGGAGTCCACTTAGGTCATTTTGGCATGACAGGGCAGGGAGAATGGGGTTCAGAGGGGCAGCGGGTCTGCAGGAGTTAACTGCAACGTCCACCACACTCCAGATCACCTGCCATCCACGCCTCAGGCCTGACCTTCTCCAGGGAAAATCCTTATCTCCAGTGGTGCAGACACGCACAAAAACGTATTAATAATTCTGTCAGTGTAAGACATAGAAAATTAGTTAGCATTAGTGATGCTCCTAAAAGGCCTCAGGAGAAAACAGGAAAGAAGTAATTATCACATCGAATGCAGTTGCTACAGTCCCTGTTTGGGCAGGTACTCACAAGGCCCAAGTTGGCATTCATGGGGTCCTTGATTGATGCAGCGTTCCCTCGCTGTTTGCAGCAAGACATCTGGAGCGTGGTTTCGGCCTTATTCCTATAGGATCTGAGTCCTCTGTGGTCCTTTCTTTGTGGGGTTGCTCCAATATACGCCATTGTCCGGGGCTAACAGATATGGGTGTTAAAAGGCATGCCAACAAACCTGCCAGGTTCTAGGCACAAGTTTTCTTACTTCCATTATGTGGCAGCAGCTTACTGTCCCTCTAGGAATCAATATTAATAACTCAGGAAAGGTCAGCGAGCTTCTTTTATCAGGCTTCTTTTATCAGTCTAATGGCATGTGGAGCCCTAGATGACCATGGAGGGAGTTTCAGCTTTCCCCTGTTGAAAATGTTCTCTGTTCCCTGGAGGATACACCCTTGTATTTGGGCATTAGGACCACTATGTCCACTGAGCCCAAGTTTGTAGAGCTAGAAAGCCAAAATAATATGGCACCAATGCAATGGACTATCACTGCAAAACATCCCAGAGGAATAATGTCACAAAGAAGGAAAACCATGGCATCTCTAGGTCTACACAAAGGCAGACAGACCTCCAGAAATGGCAGTTATACACCTAAATGTGTCTTTGTCTTCGGCTTAGTATATTTAAAGTAAATTCAAATGCCATGTAAATACTGACAGCAATGAGAAGGAGGGGAGGGATGGAATCAGCTGTTTTAAGGATTTCTTGATGTCTACCAAGTGGGATAATTGTGTGTAAATACGATGTGGCACAATTTAAAGGCATAAGACAAAAACTCTAGGATAACGACAAAAACACACACAAATGAAAAAGTTACAGCCACTATGCCAGTGAAGGAGGGAAATGGACCGGGATTTCTATATCCAACATGTTGAGTGCCACCTGTTGAAATAACCAGGCTAGCTAAGGATAAAACAATTATATTTTATTTATTGTAAGGGGAAAACTCACACCACAGGAATGGAAGATCCAGGCTCTGCTCGACAGCAGGAGAAGCTACACAGAGAGTTTACCTGGGTGGTGCACAGGTTTTTATCTCCCAGCCCCAGAAAGCCACACCTAAATTAGGTTCAACCTCTTAAAGATTATTGGTTAATAAGGCTTCCCCCATCAAGAGACCTCTGGATATGGTGCGGGGGGCATTTCTAGAGAACTTTGATTGAGGAAGAAAAATCCATCCAGAATGTGGACCGTATCATTCTACAGGCTGGGTTATCAAAATGAACAAAAATGGGGAGCAGGGACTTGACCAGAGCACCAGGCTTCATCTCTCTTTGCTTCTCGACCACAGATGTTACCTCATTGCTCCTGCTGCTCTGCCTCCCCTGCTACGTGTGGGCAACGCCACCCAAGTCTGCATCACCACCTACCTGGTATGGACCGCGGCCTCATACCTTCCACGAGCTTGGGACGAGGTCCTAGGAGTTAAACACAAGACGCACACACATATAGAGAGTCCGGGTCATTCGCCAAGAGGTGAATGCCTAGTTTTATTTAGCTTTATTTGGGGTTAATATACCCTGTTGCCCCAGTAAAGGAAACCGCTCCCAGCCAGAAGTGAGATCACAGTGTTGAGAGCCTGGCGCCCAGTGGCAGGTAGTTCCCTGACACCGGGTACCGGCCTGGGAGCCGTGGCAGACAGTTAAGGGGAAGATCAGACGCCATGAGAGACCTCCTTTGCAGGTAAAATTACCATACCAAAGACGAAACAAGTCTCTATGCTAAATCCCCCACGCTGACAGAATCGAGCAAAAGTTAACAGGAAACTAAGCTGGTTTAGCGTAAACAGTTCTTGCATCCTGTGCTTTGGCCTCCAGGAGCAGGGAAAAAACCTGCGATACAACAGCTATGGGCTGTGTCTCCTCAAGCCATGGACCAAAATAATCCTTCTTCCCATCCGCTGATTTGGTCAGGTGTTTTATCATAGCAACAGGAAAAGAACTGATTAATCTATTCATTAAATATTTGTAGATTAAGATACTAAGTTCCCAAGCCTGCTTCCCTTGGTGTCAGTGGGCTTCCTGGAGGAATTAAGAAACCAACAACCAAATGGCTATACTCCATGAGGTTTAGGGAGGGTATTATTAACCAAATCACCCCAGACAGAAACTCTAGAACTGTTTGAGACTGCAGGAGCCATCTGGGCAACAAAGAGTCGTTAACCTAACTCAAGGTCGGAAATATATTAGTAGGATTAATAATCAAGTTGAGACCCTATTGAAGACGTGAACACAATTCAGAGAAGCTGTTATAATTCCTGCTCCAGGACGGATGCCATTTATAACATAAGCATTGCTAGTGATCAATCCGTGAGCTGTGGAAATTGTAGTCCCTCTGTTTCAGTACTGTGCTGAGGGCCTAAGATGCTAGCCATTGTCTGTTTGGTTGAGGGGGAAAGTGAAGTCCTTAGATACAGAATCAACTCTTGCCGATGATAGGGGAAAGGTGGATAATTATTACAGCTGATGGTTCTAATCACAGGGCACCCCAGCACTGTGCTGAGGGTTGGTGACCACCCCCTTTTTTAGAACCTCATGGTGTCTCTGAGAGAAACCGTTACATATATATACCTGGAAGAAGTGAAACCTAAAGGGGACGAATGACGTGACCTCAGACACAAGCAATGAGCCTGGATCTGCAGCTACCTAAAGTTTAAGCCTTCACAGTTACACTCCAATCACAGGACAAGGTCGAGATCAGGGGTCCTTAACCATAGAGGTCATTAGTTCTGACATTGTGATCTTCATCTGGAAAGGTGAGCCAAAGTGAGAGCCAATGAGGCAAACGTGCTATGAAAGGAGAAGTAGAACATGAGGGCACAGTGGGCCAAAGTTCATCCTGAGCACGTGGGAAGAGGAATGCAAACATGCACCAGGTGCAAGCTGTCAGATAAATCCAAAGCAAAACACGCTTTGTCAGGAATGGCTGTGATGGGCCTAATCAGCGGAGCACATCACTGGTGAGCATGGGTAAGCAACAGAGCATGCTGCTGGGCCAGGATCGCTGCATTGTATCCAGTTCCTCTTGCTCCAAATGTTCATTGCATTAAGGCTGTGGTTGTAGGACAACAGTTAGGGCATGGAGCTGACAGCACACACGACTTCAAACATGTCTGAAAAATAAAATGAATTAGACCAGCAAAGCGTTCTTTCTCTCTCTCTCTCTCTCTCTCTCTGTGTGTGTGTGTGTGTGTGTGTGTGTGTGTGTGTGTCTGTCTGTCTGTCTGTCTGTCTGTCTGAGACAGAATTCCTTGCTGTCCTGGAACTCACCAAGTAGCTAGACTAGCTGGCCAACAATCCCTAGGGATCCATCTGTCTCTACTTCCTCAGCTCTGGAGTTATAAGCACACATCACCATGCCTGGCTTTTTTAATTTTATTTTTTACATGACTCCTTTGGATTTGGCTCAGTCCTTGTGTTTGCAAAGCAAACATTTGACTGACTGGGATATCTCTTCAGCCCCCACTATAGCATTATTTAACCTGGGGCACCTAGAAGGAAGAAGCAAGTTTCTAGTTGCCTCGACTGATAATAGTTCAGGATTATAGGTCCAGGATTCATCAAAGAACAGATCCATGCGTCTCTCTTGTTCATCAAAGGACAAAGCTGTATTATCTTGATGGAATCACCATTAACTTCCCACACCAGAGTTGGCCCGGATTTAGAGCAATTTACACAACATATGTTGATATTGTTTCATGTCCTAAAAATAAGAAGAAGAAGAAGGAGAAGAAGAAGAAGAAGAAGAAGAAGAAGAAGAAGAAGAAGAAGAAGAAACTTTTAAAAAGGCAGCAGAAACCCACAAGCATGCATCCTCTCCTTCCTGAAAACTGACACAGGATACTGGGTTTGCTTCCTCTACTGCCTTTGTGACCCTAATATTGTGTCACGGAGCTCAGTGGTAGGTGATTTACATTAAACGTGACAGGAGACACACAAAGCACAGTCCTCTGCCTGGGAAGTTCTCAGTATCTTTTCTGACACATAAATATGGGCTGAGAAATGAGGGCCAAAGCTTGTGATAGAAGATGAATGTTACGGGCATTAGAGAGAGGAGAAAGCACTGTGAACCGCTAGCATTCATGAGGATTTGGCAAGGACGTTTGCCACTAAAATTATTTTAACAAAAACCCAAGTAGTATGTCAGTTCATCTGATGATTTTGGGGGAGGGGAGTGTGCGCACGTGCGCACAAGCGTATGCACTTCAGAGTTGACAATTCTAAAAACTGAAGGCAGGGCTGTAAAGATGGCTCAACAGTTAAGAGCGCTTGTCACTCTTGCAGAGAATCCAGGTTCAATTCCTAGTACCCACAACCGTCTGTCACTCCGGTTTCAGGGGATCCAATGCCCTCCGTTTCCGGAGGCACCAGGCATGAACAAGGCACACATTCATGCATGAAAAACACTCATACAAATAAAATAAATCTAAAAGGAGACAAAATAAATGAATAAAAATTGAAGGTAATGCTTGTTACGGCTGAGCATCAGCTACTTGGAAATAATAATCCTTGAGATGAGGTTTCAATACATAGACACCAGAAGAAAATGGACCTTATCTTGTCAATCAAATAACACAGCAGGGAAAAAAAGTGAGAGTTTAAACTTCAAATCCTGAACAGTTCCTTCCTTTTATCTAAGCTGGGCTTGTCTGGTGGCAGACTATTGAATGATCTTGCAGGTTGTTTCTCTAGCATTTTGCTGGCCAGAACTGACACAGATACCCTTCGACCCAGATCTTACTCTTAGGCAAACTCGGGCGTCTTCAAGAGTAGCAAGAGGTTGCATAGTGTTCGTTACGACCCAGGAACTATTTTGGGAGCTTTAAGGAAATAAATTGGATCCTCTTAAGCAGTCCCATGTGGTGAATGTTATTACTGCGACTCCACACACCGATAAAAAAAACGGAATCACAGAGTAGTGACAGAGACTAAAGGTCTGTGTTCCCACAAATGCATGTATCCAAGTCTTCATAGCCAATGTCAAGAGGTGATGACATTTGGAGCTGGGGTGATGGAGAAGCAATTAGTGGAGGTCCTTAATGGTATTAATGCGTTTATAACAAGAGACATGAAAGATATGATATTCTCTATCTATCTGCCTACCTACCGATCTGTCTATCTGTCTGTCTTTCCCTTCATCTTTCTCTCATTGAGAAGAGAGCTGTCTACCAAGGCAGGAAGAGAGCCTTAAGAGGAGTAGGGTGAGTGACCACCATCAATGTGAGCTTTGAACCTCCGGAACTATAAGGGAATATATAATGGTTGTTTAAACTGTCTGGTACAGGATATACTGTCATTGAAGCCTTGCCTAAAGCAACATACTTGTCCATGGTGGCATACTTAGCGCACAGGAATGGTCGATTTAATCAAGAACACCTGTGTGGAAACCATTCACTTAGCCTTTAAGCTAAGAGGCCACACCCTTTCTCCATACAACACGGTGATGCTTTGGAACTGCTTGGTCTTCCCAAGCAAAGGATGAGCGAGCACCTTGCTCTCCCAGGAGATACTGTGCCGGGATCACCCCCAGATGACAGCTTCCCCACAACACAGGTGATAGAGAAACCCCCGTGACCACCAGACTTTCTAGAACTGAGCTGCGGCTCAGGAGGGTCCTATGACAGCAAGGTGAGAAATGTTAACAGAACGAGAGAAGTGGAAGTAAGGTCACAAGGACAGGAGTCGAGGAGCGTGCTGGGAAGGTTGGGAAGCAGAACAGTGTTTTTCCACAACCCAAGTTCATCCAGTTTCATTAAAGTAATATTCCCTGGCAACAAACTATTCCAGTATCTCGAGCTATTTATGAAACGCTAATCCAATGGACCAGAATGAATGTGGCTTCAATGGGCGAGCTACTAGCACAAGCTGGGAGATCTTTGGCTTGTTTAAATTAGTATAATGAGATTTGACCATAATGAGATAGATATTGTCAAAGGCAAGACGTGAGGGGTTTTTTTTTCTTCTTCTAAATACTCTTTATTCGATTGTTAGAT